ATTGCTTAAGCATCTCTGTTTCTCACACACACAAAAAACTAAAATCCATCATTCCCAACCAGAAAAAAAGAAGTGTATTATTTTAATATCTATTTTTGTCACAGCTCAACTGGGGGCAAGGGGTAGTTTTTAAGGACAATAAATTTTAGTTTTCCCAGCAAGAAGCCAAACGCTGTATCTGAGTACAAAACTGCAAGATTCAGCTCAAAGCCAGTGAATTCACAGACACTTCAACTTGTTTCAATCAAGTTTAAATACTACTTCCTTTTCCACCATTTTAGGGAAAACAGTGAACAGCAGCAAAGACACACAAACCCGATGACATGACTTACGCAGCTTTTATTTGAGCAGGTTTCTGCATGAGCTTACACAAGGGTAAGGGTTGCACCTTAGCGCCTTAGTGCGACCCCATGTCGATATCATCTGCCAATCGCCAAATCAGGGAGATGAAACACCACCAACCCACAACCAAAACATCTCGGTATAGGCCAGCCATTTTGCACAATTCATCTTTGCCTCCACTAGCATTAAAGACAAGAAGCTGCAGTGCGTGAAGGACCCAGTGAGAATGCAGGGCCTGGATTTATAGGGAGCAGTCAGCAGTTAGGATCGGAGCCAAGTGCATTACACTATATATGAGGGTCAGAGGGTGAGAATTGCAATGAAATGCAATGGAAAGCTAAGTGGGGAAAGTCCTATGTTAGGCCTTCAGCGGGAACTTCAGTGCTCAGAGAATTTCCTAGCCTTCTCTAAATCCCTCGTAGCTTTAAACGTGAGCATTGACAGCACGGCCTCAGTCAGGGAGCCAGGGCACTGGCTTCCTTGCCTTTGTGGCAGTAGGTGACTAACACACACACCTGCTTCCTCTGCAGGCTGTCACCTATCCCGGGCAGGGGTGGGCTGTTGGAAGAAGTCAAGCAGACAGCATCTTACCAGAAAACCCAGGTGTCCAGAAACACAATTGAGGAGCTTTGAACTGGCCAAATCCTTCACCCTCACAACAAAACTGAATACAAACTGTCTCCCAGCTTTCCGCTAACAAATACTCAGGATACCAGGCTGACAAGTGTAGCTGCCTAATATATCCTTGTGAGCCTATTTGCCTTTCTGCTGCCACACAGAAGATGCACCATGAAAGAGCAGGGCTGCCTGCTTCCCTCGCACTGCTGAAATGTGATTCATGGCACACTCTGGAAAGGGAAGCCCTTTGTAAGGCACGTTCCTGGCAGGCTGTGCACCATGACATTGCTGGGAGTTGGTCTAGCTTGTGACCTCTTGCCAGCAAAAGAAATGTAGTTTTATTCTATGTGCATACATGTGCATGCACATATGCATGCTTAGTACATGGGTATTTGGTCTTCTGATATAAAATGTACCCTTCTAATCTGCTTGGGCCAGCAGTGTCCTCCTGCCCCCTCCATTTGCTGTAATTTGTATTGCTTACAGAAGGCTCCAGAACCCAGCCAACACACATCACAAAACTGGTGAGAAGAACTATTACTCATAAATTTGTGCAACTAATTAAGTTCTTAATTTTAGCCGGGAGGTGATGTCTCAAAATGCTTTCAGACCGTCACAAAACAGAACAAGCTGGCTGAGAGCAATAAGCACCATCTGAGAATCCTTCCACAGCTCAGGCTGTTTATTTTTCAGTTTCACTCACTATCATCTAAACACATGTCTCTCTTTCCTCAGTTCCTATTGCTGTTTCTTCCTTTGAAGCTGGCTTCCAGAGAAAGGTCTAGAGATCCTGGCCTTCAGAGCAGATTCAAGTCCTGATTCCTCTTCCTCCCGAGGAGAATAGAGCAGGCTGAGGTCCTTCTACCCCACAGGAAAGCTAGACTGCTTTATGATAAGTGTGCTGGGGGTTCTTTCCACACTGGCAATATTGCTTAAGCATCCTTTTCTTAAAGCCTCAAGCTTTAGAGCTGGGAGATCTCACAGCAGCACAGCTACCTGACCCCACCATGATACAGAAAGCACATACCAGGAACTGGGTGCTGGCAGTGGCACTACATAGAATCACAGAGTCATAGAACAGTTAGGGTTGGAAAGGACCTTCAGATCATCTAGTTCCAACCCCCCTGCCATGGGCAGGGACCCCTCACACTAAACTATGTCGCCCAAGGCTCTGTCCAACCTGGCCTTGAACACCGCCAGGGATGGAGCATTCACAGCTTCCATGGGCAACCCATTCCAGTGCCTCACCACCCTTACAGGAAAGAGCTTCCTCCTTATATCCAGTCTAAACTTCCCCTGTTTAAGTTTGAACCCATTACCCCTTGTCCATGGTAGCATGTTTCAACCTCCTGGGGTGAGGGGTCCCCCAGCATGCATGAGTCCAGCCCGCTAGTAGCCTCTGCCACCCCGGGAGTTTCTGAGCAACCACATTGGCTCTTGGTGATAAAAACAGGAGCTTCAACAATCTACAACACTTTCCAGTTGATAACATTTATACACAGAGGGAACTTTACCCACACAAATGGCCCCAAGCTATATCTGTATCAGTTTACTCACATGATCAAGTCTTTGCAGGATCCCACCCTTAGGGACTACCAAGAGTCCAACAAAAAGGCTCTCACAGCATATATCTGGGATTGAAACACTACTTACTAGAACAAAGTGCGAATTGATACTAGTCCAGATGACACAGATTCCAAATAAATGCAAATAAAATCTCTTCCTTTGCCACACCACCATGTGATCTGCATGTGTCATTCCTTATGGCACAGGCAACTGAGAGGTATATCAACTAGCTTCCTCTGCCTCTGAATTCCCCCAGCAAAGCTTGCCTGGCTGGCAATGGAGGGTGCTGAAGTGCCAGGCTATTAAATCTCATTGAATTCAATGCAACTTAAGAATGTAAGTGAAATTAAGTAAATATCTATGGACTAATGAACTAGGATGCTGCACTGTTCTGTATGCTTCTTTGGATGATTTTTTTGCCAAAGAAATATCAGAGGGACAGAAATCAGAGAAACCTTCTAAAAGCTGTAAGAATACCTTAAATAAATGCAAAATTGTTGTACTTACATTAAAACTGCCAACTTAAGATCCAGTTTCTTAGGCCATTCCAGAGATCATGCACTCACTTTGACCCTCTTACAAGCATCTAACCGGATAAATTAAAAGGAGATTTTCTACCACTTGCCAATACAAGATGCATTTTTGCCCTAGGCCTCAGAGAAAACTGTAGCTTTGCATTCCCACTTTTAGTTAAGTTAATGAGGAGAAGGAAGATAATTTCTGAGGTGGGTTCTTCTTCCTTTCATCTGAAAAGCAGTTACTGGGTTGTTCAAAGCTTGTGTGCATAGCTCTGCGAGTTCAGTACCTCTCAGTGCCTAACTTTCTAGAGACTACTACTGCACTACTGAAAGGAGAGGTGAGTTCTTCCTATATGGTCCCTGGAAGCAGGTTAGACATCAGACAGCACTATAAAAAAGGGATATGGCTTTGCATTAAGCAGAGTTTGTAAATGCTTCTCAGTTACTTAGTTTATTCTCTTCTTGTTCCCTTGCAAATGATGAAACTCCTTAGGCTCGGGCAGCATGGACATTGTCTGCTTGTGAGTCTAATAGTTTGGCTGTCCATTCTTCTCACCAGACGCATGCCAGCATGTTCTCAGTGACTTAATGGCACTGCTGCTTTGGGGTGGCTGAAAGGGGAAGCAGACTGCAGCTGCTTCTGAAGGATATAAATAATTTTTAAAAACGGGGCTCCAGTGGTCCTACAGGATCAAGGACACCTGGGCTCTATTCCTGACTCTTCTGCAGACCTGCTGTATTGTTTTGCTTTTTTCAGTAGCTCTAAATTAAGACCTCTTCCTGCCAAATTTGTAATCTTAGGTGCAAGGCTTCCATTTGTAAATCTGAGCCACAATAAGGAATTTGGGGTGCTGGTGCTAGCCTGTGAATGCAAGCCCAGGCATTCATTCAACAACAAAATCACACAAACCCCATTGCACTGGTGAACACCACGAATGGCTCACAAGACAACCCTACTTACACCATTTACCAGTTGGCCATCTGCTCCTTTCAGATATTATTTTATGGCTTTCCTTTGTTTTCACCAAGGCCTAAACAGGAATGAAACTGTGAGTCTTGTCGCTAGCCCTTTTAAATAAATAGCTCTGCCATCGCTCTAATAAGTTTGACAAGTTGGTCCCAGGCCCTGGGCAGGAAGCTAATAAACTTCAAGTTGTTTTCTATTGTTTTCCTAAAACAATTTGACTTCCTTTCTGATAGCCTCAAATTCCTTCAATAAAAATAGAGTAGCTGGGAGCCAGAGGAAGAGCTGAACTGGAGCCAAGTTGTGCTTACAATGCCGCCTGCGTAAGATCACATTTTTATCCTGATCCACGAAGACTCTTTAAAAGAATAGCAGGCAGACAGCTGCCAGTGCATGTCAGGAACAGCTCGGGAGCTAGTCTCCCCCAGCATCAGTCCTCCAGGCTTGAGGGAATCTCCATCCAGAGAGCCAGTGTCAGAGGCTGAGCTCCTGGAAGCTTTAACCTGTCCAGAGTGTCCTCCCTCAGACACGGATTTCTTCTGGGAGCTGAACACTGACAGAGAGGTGTGCTCCAGCAAGACCAAGGGGCTGTGCTAAAGCTCAAACTTCAGCCAACTTCACCTGCTCCTCCCTCTACCTGTGCAGGCTCAGCAAAAAGAGGTAAAGGTCTGTTCTTTCTTTTCTTCTCTTCTCAACCTTGGGAAACATATATATGTATATATATATATATGTATGTATGCACACATTACTTTTGTAAAGCAGCAATTCATCTAGCTAGAAGTTTACAAGACAAGATGAACTAGGTAGATGAGGACTCCTTGCTTAAAATGACTTGCTGATTCTTTGGACAAATCCTTTATGCTCTTCATGGTTTGGTTCTTCCATCTGTAAAGCAAGGAGAGTGATTATAGGAGCTGTAATTGCATTATCATTTACAAAGCACTTCTCAACTACTCAGAGACGCTGCAGAGTTGAGAAGTGGAAACAGTAGCTGTGAGAGTGCCATGATTTATTTTGAGCAGCATAAAGCTGACAACTAAGCATTTTCTTTGGGATAGATGGTCATTTCTCCTCAGTGAGATGGAATCCTCTTCCAGTTTTTCTTTCTGAAAACTTTATTGGCAAATGAGGCTGACATGCAGTGACATTTCACACCTTGCTCTTTCTTGTTTCCTCTTTTCTCAATCCGCTGGTTTGGTACCCTGAGATGGGGAGTGGGAAACATCCATTTATAATGGAATTATTTGGGATTGTTCACTAAATAAGGAACTGTGACTATAAAACTGCTCCCCCTCATTCAGGGGCCCATCGTCACATGCTACTCCTGTTCCCTTGGGCCCAGCCTGTCCTTGGGAATCTGTCTCCTGCTGGAGGATGCCTGGAAGCTGTCTCCAGAGGTCTAATGTGTAGCAAAGAACTTCCCTCTCCTTCCTGTCTTTCAATCTTACTCATGCACTGCGATTTTAGATAAAATGTTTCACCAGGAAGGTAGCATCCGTTGGTGCTTTAGAGAAGGTACCAGAGGTGCCTGCTCAACACAGGACATATGAAGAATCAGAATAAGTACAGTGCTGTGGCCAGACATCAGAGATTAAATACATGCAAGAAGTTTCTGTCTCAACTGCATTTGGCTGGTGGTTTTTGCTGACAATTCCCAATGCAGTAAATCTGATATACTCCCAAAGCACGAAGTCCTCAGTAATGGCAGGAAAGTACAAAACATTTTCCCTTCAGACAGCCTCTTGAAGTTCTCAAATCTCAGGACAGCATCTACCCACATTAGAAACATCCTTCCAGCAAAGCCAGAGGCTCCAAGAACATCTGATTTATGTGAAGCTCTTTCACATGTGAGTTCTCATCTGCATATTTGCAGACCTTCTCTATGCATTGTGTTGGCTTGCTTTTTTTGTTAATTTAAATCTCTGACACAGAATGAATCTTCCATTAAATATCCACAGGATCAATGCTAAAAACCTCACCACACAAACTGTGTTTGGGATTTACCTGACTTCTGTATGAAAGGGAGCATCTCTGATAACGCAATAAGGCAAGTACAGGAAATAAAATTAAAAAGGAACATCTTGGCTTATTGGATTCAACCCCTTTGAATAACAGGCAAGTACAAAACAAATGGCCTTTTCTAAACTTACTAAGATCTGGTCTAAATCTCATTAGGTTTCCACTGTCACTTGTGCTACTAGAATGCTGTTCCAGCACCTCCTTCCCTGCTCTGTTGCTTAGAAACCTCCTGATTTCCAACCTAAATTCATTCATGGCCAATTTATATCTATTTATTCTTTTCATTGTCCTTTAGCTTATGCAGCTATCCTCACTCCCTAGCACTTAGTTTCCCGACCCCAGTTTCTAAAAGCATTTATAGGCAGCAACTCTCTCCTTCCTTAACCTCTGTTCTGCCAGACTAAGTAACTAAGTTCCCTTATATTATTCACCCTGCAGGCATATCACACCATATTTTAATTACTTCGGGTAGCTGCACTAGCATAAAGTTCAGTGCAAAATAATTAAGGCAGAAAAGCTCAAACTGGTACTGCATCTATTTTCCAATTGGCTCATGCATCTCTCTGCAGTCATTTGTGTGACTGATAACTAAACATACTCTTGGCCGAGAGACACCCTTCATCCCTCTGATCACCCTGTTGCCTTTCTCTGCACCTGTTCCAGGCTGAATATCTTGAATGTGGGTGAGCAGCGCTGCACACACTATTCTGGCAGGGTCTCACATCCTCTTGGATCACATTCATCTCACTCCCTGCAACTGGAAATACTGCTATGTCCTGAAAGCTCACTTGCCTTTTTCACCCCCACATAGCATCACTGGTATCTCCTCCTTTGGCGACCCTCACCCAGGGCTCTTCCCTGCCTCAGTCCTGCCAACTAGGAACCCCCAGTTGCTAAGAGAGATTTCTGATACTCTCTGAGCATTAAGTTCCCCTAGTGTGTGACTTTGTGTTCTCCCATTTAACCTCACCTCAATCACCCTAGTTCCACTCTCCTAGTGCTGGAATCCACCTTCTGGCTCTCTTCCCTCAGCAGATTTCATCAGCATTTCTACTTTCTGTGCCAAGGTAATTAACATCAATATTAAAAAGTTCAGTCCTGAGCAATTTTTGAGCAGCCTCACAAATCATTTCCCCTCAACCCATTAGGGAACTGGTGTCTCAGTTCTGTCAGCCTCTTACCCACTTGAGGATTTCTCGAATAATCCCTGTCTTCTTCACCTGAATCTTTTCCACTAATTTGCTTCTTCTAGGACACCCTATCATACACCCAACTGAAGTCCAGGTAGATAAGGTCCACTATGTTTCTTTTACCTAGAGGGTCAAGGATCTTACCCCAAGAAAGCTATTCACCTCTGATCAAAAGATGGTACATGTTGCCTTATTTTCCCCTTACCTCCTGGCTTTATTTCTCATTTCTTTCAAAATCTGCTCCACAGCATCATAAACTGCTGAGATCTGCAAGCTGCACATGACAAGCTGTCAGCTGTTCTCATTCCCACCGTCTGCAGGAGCATTCACTTGCTCTCCTCACTCAAGTCATACAAGTTTTGCATAGCAGTCTCTTGGGGAGGGGAGGAAAAATCCTTCTTCCCAGTTTACCAGTGGGAAAACAGCTATTTCCCTAGCTTTGGAGCTGGAGAAGCTGCCATGACACCTCTGTTTTCCCTCGAAGGGGTTGCAGTAGCAAAGAGAAGGGACAGCACATTTATGGTCTGGCTGAGGTGTCCATACAAGATATCTGCTCACCTTTCTGTCTTTTGCCTCTCTGTCTGCCTTCACCCATTTCCTTTACGTGCACCAAAATTCAAACAGTTACCACCATCACCAAAAAAGAGTTTGAAACAGTTACCTCCCATGCATGATGCATGTATTGGACAGAAACCTTCTCCCCTCCCTCATTCATTCAACAGAACCAGACTGTTATCTGCTGAATCCAGAGATTAACTCTAAAGGAGAATGAATATGCCACACAGGAACAATACCAGGAGAGGGAACACAAAGGAGTGAGCAGTAAGAATCAGACCTGATTACCCTGAGCATACTGAAAAGTGTCAGCCATGCAGGGAGGGATTACATTTCAGACAGCTCACTCACAGGACCTGCTTCTCCATAGCACGTGAGAAACATTTGACAAGCCTATCCCTAGCCTATCCCAAAGCCATCTGTGAGCTAGATCTATATTACTAACACCTTTTTTTGGACACTTTATCATGAAGTCCTTGGCAATTTCACTGGCATAAAATCAACAGGGCTTTACAAAATAATGCCTTAAGGAAATTACTCCAGGAAGATAAGAGAGCACAGCGATATTCTCCTTCCCATGAAATTCCATCACAGATATGCAACTGCCAGGCAGGAGAGGGAGAAACTACTCCAAAAACATTCCTGTCTTCTTTGAAGTCACAGAGGGCCTTTCATTAAAGTTAGAAATTAAGCAAACGACTGTGGCTTTCTCCATACTGGGAGCTCATTAAGCTGCTATGGGAATTTGTTGTGAACTGTATGTCCTGCACTAACCACCAGCAAGGATTCCTCTCTCTTGAGAAGGAGTTGCAGTCTTAACTTCAAAGTGAGAGTGTCCACATAGGACACACCTCCAGAGGTGTCCTCTGCCCAGCACTGTCCCTGCATAGGCTGCCTTTCAATCTTGAGACTAAAGGGGCTACTAAACTAGTGGGAGAACAATGATTACATTAGAAGAGTTGCCAGCCCTATGTTTTAGTCTCTGACCTGCTTTTGCTTCATGATCTACACCAGCATAGGGACCTCTGGCTAATTTTGCTCTGGATGGGAGATACCTAGCCCAGGAAGGATTGCTGGAGGGACTACCACCAAAGCTTGCGCATAGCAAGCCAATCCTCAGAACAGCAGAGTCTTCTGCGCAGATCTCATTCTTCTGACACCGGTTCTTTGAGACCAGCCTTTATCAAACCAGAAGGCATCTCTGATTCAGCCTCTTCTCTAGGGCCTGATGTGCGGAAGTCAGAGGCTTAACTTGACATACACATGAAATACAACACCTTCAGACGTTTGCTGTGCCAAAAGCAATTTTAGAAAGGCCCAAATGCTCATGGACCAGACTGTGCTGGTGTGAGGAGGTGGTGGTGGGTTGGTGTGTCAAAAACACCTCTCTTGACAGGCAGGTAAAACCCTCACACCAGCACAGTCTTATCAGTAAAACTCTCCTGGGAAGCATCCAGTGCCCTGTGGGACAAGGCTGCAGCTGTGCTGCACCCCTGACCCAAGTGCGCAGAGCAAGTCCTATGTTACTTGAAGAGGTGGAGGTCTGTGCTCCACATGAATTCAGCTTTGCCAAACTAAGAGTGAACGAGTCAGAAAAGTGTCCTTCACTGATGTCTTGCATGCGAAAAGCTTCCCAGGGTCTGGCCAGTGTAAGTGCGGGGCAACCCCGTCTCTTTTCATTTAAGGAAGGCTTAGACCATAGCATGTTATCAGGGGGAGGAGGTGCGAGGAACACGGGTAGCAGCAACTGGAAGGCACAACGCAAAGCCGGCAGAGAGTGCATCCTGTCGGCATGGGGAGGGTGGCACGGAGAGAGGCTGGGAATGGAGAGGGTGGTCTTTAAAGAGAAAACAACAGGAAACTAGGTTTGAAAATAGAAAGATTAAGCTGGAGGGTGTGGGAGAGACAAGAAAATTAGGTGAAGAAGGAAGAGGGGGGAAAAGCAGAGAGGCAGTGGGGAAGACAGAAAGTGACACAGAAAGGGGGTGGAGAAAGACGGGAAGAGAGAACCTATTAAAGGAATAAAACCAAGCAACTGAGAAGAACAAAGAGTCCAACTCATCTACAGAAAGGAAAAGTGCTAAACGAAGGAGAGGAGACAGAAGACAAGATACAGGAAATCAGGTAAGTAACCATGAGAGGGAAATAACAGAACTGCAGAAGCATTGAAGGCAGATCAAGCTGTTACACTCAAGGGGAAAACAGCATGAAGGGAGAAGAGGACTTGATGAGGCAGGAAAAGAAGGATGGCCAAAAATAACTTAAGAAATTAGCTTTTTCTTTCAATTTCCCTCCAAAGCATTCCCAATAGTAATGAGATGGGCTTGGGACATTTCAGGAATTAAACTCTTTTTGCCACATGCAGCTACAGAAATTATGAGGAAGCCTCCCTGCACTGAACATGGATACTGACAGATTTCAATGTACAGGAAAACAGG